ATCGCGATGGGACTAGGGACCCGATGTTGCGGATAATCTTGTTTTGATTTCTTTCGATCAAAACTTGTTTAAAGTTCCTAAGTTGGTTCTAGTTTCTCATTTCTAATCAATGTTCTAAAGTAAATAACCGAGTGGTAGATGTTTCGGTATATATTAACATGACTAGTTAAATTTCATAACCACGCTGCGATATGTAGATGATACAAAAATGTTACTTCCGGTTAATTTAGGAAAATGTTATTGGAATTAGAGTTTACTTGCCCATAGGAAAATGTTCTTATGCGCAACCTCTCGATAAGTGATATCAGAGCTAGATCCGTTATCCTTGCAAAGATCAGAAGAACAGCGTGCCATCAATTGATGTAAAAATTATTCAGGACAGAAAACACCTGAGATTTGCTTTCCCCTTCTCACATTACATGACCTGCGAATCTTCCATATTGTTAGGGATACCGCGCATCTCAATCGTCATTAACCCGTAATCTATATGATTATACAACAAAGGAGATACTTAAGAAGTGTAGAAAGAGAAAGATAAAGCTCAGCCCGATGCTTGAGTCACAACAGCCGAAACCATGGTGTTCATTCCACACATGCCGTGCCCACGGCAGAGCCGGTAGTAACCGTGCTCTCCCCAGCGCTTCCCCCACGAGTTCTTTACGATCCAATACGGCCTGTTGCCGAGCCTGATGATGGAGAACCCCTTTGCTCCGTAGCCGACGAGGAGCACCCCGTGATTGACCCATCTCTTGCCGCAAATGATCGGGCACGAGACTCCCCCGATGTAAGTTTGCATGAAGACCGCGTTTAGCCCCACTGCGATCGGAAACCAAGAGCTCATCAGTGAAGCTGTTTATACGCCGGTTCGATAAGGCACTTAGCGGGTTAGTAGCGGGCTTTTCACGTAATCGTCGTAAGAGCATACATACTAAACAAGTCAGAAGCCTAGCTGAGTTTATTCATTAAGTTAACAATTGAAATAATTCAAAACAGACATAGCATATAGACAATTCCTAGCCCATACCAGAAAGATTATCCTAGGAAATTTGAAGACCTTCCCAGAAATTCTAATCATATTGTGATCGACATGAACCTTGTTAGTCATGGAAGAACCTACCAATACCACCAAACAGCATGGCCCATGCGCGATGTTTGCCTTAGATTAAGCTATGAGATCGTAAGGCCTTGTATCTTTCACCGGACAGGGCCAGATGTTTTATGTTTTGAGCGCAAACGTGAATGAATAATGAATAAAGGAAGGAAAAGGAGGATAGACGGATTCTTAAATCGGAATTCCGAACCTGCAAGGGGACCGTGCTTGACCAAATGTGCTGCTATCTGGTCCTCGTCGACGGGGATGGTGGTAAAATTCACCACCCGGACAGCTATCTTATCCGATTTGAACTTGCACTCCCCGCGTTTCCCGGTGTAAGGATACGAGCTCTCCTCTTCCAACCCGCCCGCCTCAATCAAGTACCTGTACGCATTCGTCATAAGGCCTCCGTGGCAGCCGCTGTCACATGCTGTCTTTTCTGACAAATCGCACTTCGAAAAAAAAATCCCAACAAAAATACGAGTCGAAGTAAGGATTTCAGCAATAATTCCGAGTACAATTAACAACACCAATCGATTGATTTCACTGAATTTCTCTTTAACGTTATTTGGCTGTGTTAATTGGAGTTAGGAGCTAACCGTGCTATCACAGTCGACGAGCTGCTGCTCGCTGAGATTGAGAAGCTTCCCGGTGGCGATGAAGTTGGCTCCTTCAACGGCTCCTGTAGTGCTGAAGGCCCAGCATGAACCACACAAGCCCTGCAATTACCACATTACATATGTTTATGATCATTACGCAACATAAAATGGACAAAAAACATGGAAAGAGTGAACACCGAAAAGACATGGCGAGAGAAATTTGTGCAAATTGATGTTGCTGCCCAGGATCGAACTGGGGACCTTTAGTGTGTAAGACTAACGTGATAACCACTACACCACAGCAACTCTTGCTTACAAATTTTCATCTATCAAATAAGTTTTTCCTCCAAGATCACACCGTATAAATGGTCACCCTGAACAAAGTCACCATAATCATACAAATTGTATATAATGTAGGTGGTGGGACTAAAAAGAATGGTTCAACTCCATATAACTCAGGATGATAGAAACGGAAAGATGTACATGAAATTTAATAGATTTGACATATTCTTGCAAAAGATTGCAGCAGAATCAATTGTCTACAATACCAATCAAGTTCTGTATCTACAATACCATGAATCTGAAATTGCCTTTTAATCCCACACTCTGATGGGCCAGCGTCTTCATAGACAACCGAATTAAAGGGCAACATTTGACAATTATTTTCTATCTTACTACTACATAGAAGACCTAATCACCACTTTTTTAAATCTACTTTAGCAAAGCTTTCTCCAGCTCAGTCTGTTAATCAATTATAAATGAGGGGATATATAACAAGTGTATATATCCCAAAAGGAAACACACTCACTTGCGTCTTGACCTCAGTGACAGCTCCCATCTCTCGCCAGTCGAAGCTCTCCGGCAACCCATTCACCTCCTCCTCCTCTGCCGGTGGGGCCACGCCGTTCGAGGAGCCCAGGCCGCCTCCGCCACCCCTGACGCCGGTGTAGAGGCTCTCGAACTCCTCAGGGGAGAGGTCGGAGAAGGGGGTGACGCCGTGGACGGCGGTCGGGTCGAGGGCCTGGTGCTCCGCGGCCCGTGCCAGGTTGGCCGCGAAGATCCCAAGGCGGCGCGAGTACTCCTCCCGGGTGGAGTAGCTCCTGTCGTACTTGCGCATGAAGATTTGGAACCTGCCCTCGGCGGTGAGGAGAGGGTTGTGCTCCGTGACTCGGAGGATTGCCAGCGACGACGAGCAGAGGGTGAATGTGAGCGCCAGCGCGATGATGGCGATGGTGCGAGATGGGGGCTGGCTGGGCTTGAGCAGTGACATGGTTGTCGATCGTTTTCCCGGCTTTCTGTTTGCAGGGTCGAGAGAGAAGAGGCCAAGAAGAAGGAAGGAGCGAGAGAGAGCGAGAGTCACCAGAAAGGTCGGGGTGAGGCCAAGTTCATTGCTGGTTGCTCTCAGCCTTTGATCTTTGAGCAATATGAAAGAAAATAAGAGATCTTGCTGCAACACTATGTGTTTACACTCAACCTAAACACCTTTCATCACTTTGTAAGATCCTCAGCTGCGTTCTCCGGGATGGGAGGACACGTGGCATCCATGCACGAGGCGGGGTGGCTTCAGAAAAATCTACGTGGTTGAGCTGCTGTTGCTCCACGAATCTAGCTGGAAGATGGGGCGTTTCAGGCTTTGACTTTTTCTTTAAGGAGTAAAGCGAGTCACCGTGGACGTGGCTAGTCCAGTGACGCACGATTTAATCTCAACTTCCGCAATCTTCCCTCGATCTTAGGTATCTAAGATAATCCCAACTCTACTTCTTACTGATACCGTAACGAAGCGGCGATGACAAGGTTGTTCGAACCTAAGATAATTCCAATTCTACTGCTACCGATATCATAAGGGAGCGGCGATGACAGAATTGTTTGAAGTGAAAAGTGATTACTATTCGAACAAACATTTCCTCGCAGGTTGGGACAATCATAATTTCATGATTAGTTAGAAAATATCTTATGGTAATCACTCAATGAAACGGGGATTTCATATTGAATTCCGCAAGCTCATTCATCTTAATTGAAACTGTTCATATCATTAAGTAATAAGTACTTTTAAGGGCCTTGAAATAAGCAAGTTCTTTAGTACTTCAAGCACTTGGTGCACCTACTTCGCCTTTTTTCTTGAAGTTGGGCGGTTTATCTATCTTTGAGTAAACCTGTTGGCTCCCCTACAACCAAGATACAACGCCATTTTCTCTCTTTTCGTACGACCGCGAGTCCATCCAAGGCAGTGAACTTCCAGTACCCCACTAGTCACCAATGAACAACAGTAAGTGACTCTTGGAGCGCGCATGATAACCATTCGATTTCTCTGTTTTTTTATTTTTCTATTTTCGGAAACAGGTTTGGAACAGACATCCGTTTGATAACGCAATTTCATTTTTCTATTTATGAAACAAAATTCTACTCCAGAAATAGTTTTGGAATAGAAATCAAAAGTAAAAATTTTTACTTTTCTAAATCTAGAACTGAAATGAGAAATAAAATTTCTACTCATCGCTCACCCTCGCTACTAGCCAGCCGCCCATTCAATGCCCGCCATCGCCTCCGGTCGCCGTTTGCCATCCTCCACTGTCACTTGACGCTGGCTGCCTCCCACCATTGGTCGCCGCCATCCACTGCCACCCGTTGGCAACCTCTTGCCGTCCTCTGCTGCCGCCTGATGCCAGTCGCCTCCCGTCGTCGACCGCTGTCCTCTGATATCAGCCACAACCTAATGCCGACCGCCGTCCTCAACTGTCTGCCATCGCCCGACGCTAGCCGCCTCCTGCCATGGTCCTTCGATGTCTACTGCCACCCGCTGCCTCCTGCCACCCACCCCCGTCCGCCTCCCGCCGGCCGCCATCCTCCGTCGTCTGCCACCGCCCGCTCGCCGACCGCTTGGGAGAGAGAAATTTTGTGCCGTTATCAAACGAATTTCTATTTTAGAAACAGAAATTCGGTGTCGTTATCAAACGTGTATTTTGGCTCAGAAACTCGTCCATGAAATAGAAATAGAAAAATCTATTTTTGACAAGAAATTGAATTCTGAAATAAAATGGTTATCATTCGCGTCCTTAGTAACTTGCGAAGCAAAATTCCGAATGACCATGTCCGCACTGTGTACTAAGACGAGAATCGGGTTACCCGAGACCTCCTGCTTCCGAGCTCAGCTCTTATGCAGAGCAACGCGAATCGGAGATAGACCAATCAGCAATGCCGCAGTCCACTCTTAACCAATATCGTGGATCAGAAACGACTGGGACGGACCTTGAAATATCCTTAACATGAAAGTGGATCAGGACACCAAAAGAAATTCACTGACGCTGCTGTGGTAAAAAACATACATCAATGATATGCGAATGCTGGTATTCTGATGGAAATAGCCTCAGTTGGGGGTAAGCGCCTAGTCATGATCTGTCTCCTAGCTTCTCGTGATATACAGTGATTGCCTCGTTATATGATCTAGATGTGATTTGTATGCTAAAACTGAAAGCAATTTGCTGTACACTAATGCGATGAGAGACTAATAAACTGACTCACATCAACATCTCAACCTACTCCCACCCCATCAATTTGTTTCTCACGCCTTCCACAATCTTCTTTCTGGGCACGCACAAGCTATCGGCTTCGTCGATCAAGATTCTGTACACTTCCCACTCCCGGTTGCGTACCATGTGCCTCCCGATTTCTACCTGGAAAAGGAAATGGCGATGGGTGATGGGTAAGCGTACGGTTATATGGATTATACCTTGAGTCGTTCCTCAAGAGTGCTAGAAAGGGAATTGGAAAGTACCGAAAAGATCCGAGTATTGAGAGTCTCTAGAGCAAGCGTAATGTCGTGAAACACGAGCGGTCGACCTCTTCCAGAAAATTCGACGGGATTAGCGACTAGCAGCTCGGTGTCTGGACCCCGGTTCACGACGGCCACTCTAAGAGGGCGCCAGAGCTCCATTCTAAGACGAGAACATAATGCATTCTTTTTGTTTGGATCGACTATCTTATTGCCATCCACTTGCATGAACAACTCCACCTCGCAGTTCCCTTTCGCTTTCTCACAGAACCGTCCGTAAGATACCTGCGGGAAAAGCATTGAATCGAGTTAATCAAAGCACAAGGACTAGTGTGGAGTTGCATCTACAAACTCTCAAGTAGTTTAAAAAATCGCTTTCAGAATGCTTAGTTCTATCTGGAAACATATATATGTCTACCTGGATGTTATAATCCTTCAACGTTCTCATAATATCATAGATTAGGCCTTTATGGTCCTGACAAAGGACCTGAACCAGCGTGTGCGACCGGCTAAGGGAGTTGTCCATGATAATAGATAGAGGATTAGAGAAAAGAGAGCCGGTTGGGCTTTCGCTCACTAGTTCTAAGCTGAACATGTCTTCAATAACTGCAGATGGCAGAAACAACGATCCCTGTGAACAGGCAGCAACTTCAGGGCCAGCCATTTCAATCTCACAACTAAGAATGAAGTCCCCTAGTACATCTCTGAGACGACATATCGTTTCCTCCCGTCTCTGCTGAGTATGAAGAAGTGCTCTGCCCAAGTAAGTAGACAAGCTATTCATAAGTATAGAAAGGACAAGGCAAATTGATCTTGCATCAGATTACTACTGTCAAATTAAGGTCATCCCATTTGAAGCCCACCCAGCACATAATGATAGGGAAAGCATTTCAAAGCTTAGAACATAATCTCGGACAAGAGAGAGACACAAACTGAATCAACCAAGCTCAGTGGTTCAGCGTCCTTGATTTAGTTATTAAAGTGTATTTAATTTGTAGTGTTCCATATCGCAAGTGGTCTCGCCATTATTGATTATATCCAGATCATAGAGCACCCAAAAGAAGAGCTCTACCAATGAATCTATATGCTTTCAAGTTGAATTGCATACAGTACTAAGTATAAACCCAATAATAAGTGAACCCTTCGCTAAATGGAGTGTTATGACCCCACATAGTTGACAATGACTACTTACCTTATAAGTGATGCGACAGCAAACTTGGACAATGGTAATGGCCAGAACTTAGAAGTAGGAAGTCGCTTATATTTGGCAATGTAGCTGATTGTTTACATCAATTTGATAAAATTAAGAGGACCATTTTACTACATTAGGTTCCTAATATCTGGCTCTTTAGTTAAACATTTGAACCTCCAATTCTACTGGCAGGGTGGCTAATCCATCCACTCATCAAAGACAGCCAAACTTAATCAACCAACCATTTAGTTTAAAATGCCTAAACTTAGGTCATTTATAGGATTCTTGAGTATTATCAGAAGTAGTTCGATTGGCTCAAGCTCTTGTAGTATGGGAATTCTCCACATCCCATTAATAGAATCAAATTTCTTCGGATGTTCATATATTAATAGGCTTATCCATCCACTCATCAAAGACCGCCAAACTTAATCAACCAACCATTAGGTTAAACCGCCTAAACTTAGGTCAGGTATGAGATTTTTAAGCATTTTCAGCAATTAGTTCGGTTGGCTCAAGCTCACATAGTATGGGAATTCTCCACTTCCCATTAATAGAATCAAATTTCTTCAGATGTTCTTCAAATATTAATAGGCTTATCCATCCACTCATCAAAGACAGCCAAACTTAATCAACCAACCATTTAGGTTAAAAAGCCTAAACTCAGGTCAGATATAGGATTCTTGAGTATTTTCAGCAAGTAGTTTGATTGTCTCAAGCTCTTATGGTATAGGAATTCTCCACTTCCCATTAATAGAGTCAAATTTCTTCAAATATTGAGGGGCGATTGAGGTCTTTCAGAAAGCAAATAAGCAAAAACAAGCAACACTGGAAACAAAAGATCAAAGATATAAAAAAAAGGGGGGGCGGCGCATCAAACCTGGAGTCTGTCACAAAGAAGAGGTCCATTACCCTCCCATCAGGAGCAGTGGACACCTTCACTCTCTTTATCGTTAGCTCCAACTCACAAAGGACCCTTGTTACATCTAATATCGGAAACAGAAAATGCAGAAACAGAATCATTTGTCAGCGAATATGGGAAGAAAAGGGAAGTTGACATTTTTTGAGGAGACTAATTAATGATGTTTTTAAGAGGAAACATCAGTTCAGAATGCTAATTTTGTCACGTAAAAGTTGACATGGCAATTTCTCCAGGAGGTTGAAATGGAGAAGTAAATTATAAAATCTACGAATTTGAATCTATCATAAATTAGCATGTAAATATGCTAACCCGCTAGCGAAAGGAATGTGAAGATGGCAAGAACAAGGAGCATTTGCTTCATTGTAGCATAGGAGCCAAATGCTGGACAGGAACAGTATCATGACTGCATATGTTTGCGAAACAATTTCAACAGACTGAATGTTACACTACTGTGCATTTAGTTTCCCGTTCAGACTCGCATCTTAATAAACATTTCAGGCCCGATTTATTGTCAGATATATACTAAGCTTCTTACTATGCACATCATATACAGACATAGATCATACTATAATCTGCTTTGTTGAACTAATGGAGAGAAACCCTCAATTAAAAATGCGAATTAAAAGTACCCATGTGGAAACAGGAGTGCACTTTAATACCTATCATACTTTCCAGTGGAAACAAAATCTGATGATTAATTAGAAAAGTGTGTGACTGATTAGATCCGATATATAATCTATATCAAGCAAAAAGGGACCTAGGGGACGAGAAATCTCACCATGTAATAGACCTTTACGGTCACAAGAGCACCAGAATTTCAAAAGGAAGACATCATGGAGCTGGGGCTGATCCATCTCTGGTCTGTAATACTCAATTCCTGACATAGAAAAATATGAAGGGCACACCTCCAACAGTCTCTTCTTCAACAAGCTCCAACTTCTTGTTGGTTTCCCCACCACCCAAAGCACAATGTAGCACCACTTCCCGTCCGTTGACATGTCTGAATATGCAACAGAAAAAGAAATTAGAAAGCAACAGAATCGCTCTTGGTGCTGCAAAATCAGATCTTGTTCACACAGTGACACATACTCCATTTGCCTATGCATCTCAGTCCTACAAATGGAAATCCGAAAATCATACAAAAGTAAGAGATTTTATCCTCATCGTCCTTGGTTTACTGGAGGTCTCCAGAAAAGTTTGAAACAAAACTCACAATGGCATGCATTCATTCTACTCCAGCCCTCAAATCCAATTTTTCCAGAAAACCAAAACTTCGAGAGCGGATCGTGAATTCTTTGAATGACCCATTTCATCCTTTTCCAATGAATAACAAAACCCAGATAAATATACCAAATTAAACGGGAGAAACGCAAGTAACGAACAACCACGGACTCATGAGCACAGATCTGTTTCCCATCAAAACAGCATTGCAGAGAACACAGAAACCCCAAGAACCCAAAACAGAGAGCTCACCTCCTCTGGTAATGCTCAACCCAAAGAGCAAGATGACCCTGCACAAATCACACCCCAGCCCAGTCTTGTCGGGACAACTCACAGTGATCTCAGTCGTGTCCTTCGCCTTCTCCGACTCGCTGATCTGAACCGCATCCTCGTACGCATGCAAGATCCCCATCAACTCCCTCTGTGTTCAATTCTGTCAAATCTCTTTGCTCTGTTCCTTCCAATGTCCCCAGCTCAAAGGGGTAAAAACAAGAACATTATAAAAAAGAAGCAAGTGGGCAATGAAGGATTACCCTTGGTCTTATTTTAAGAAATTGTATATGGGAGATAGCGGATTCGATTGGGCAAGCAAGAGAAGAAAGGAAGAGGGATGAAACGAAATACATTGGAGATTCCGCAAGGGAAAGAGATCGGACACGAACGAAGGCCTCTGCTTTCCTTATCTCTCTGTCTCTCACACTTGCTATTTTCAAGTTCTCGTCGTTGATGTTTAGTGCTTGATTTGGAGAGTTTAACGAGATTATTATCTCGTGGAGCCGAGATTTAATGTTAATTAATCATCGATGCGATGACAAGTCTTGAGGCAGTCTAGAAAGTTTTTCTCGTTTTCTCCTTTTATGCTTTTACGACAAGGTTGATTCTTGGGCTGTCTTTTGTTGACATGAATATGCAGGGATCCTTCGAAAATTGTGTTCGGAATATTTGATTTATGTACAGCATCTTATAAGCAAAAGGGATCATTCCATTTTGGTATTCATCGGCACTCGAAACCTTCGTCTTTTGAGTTGTTCAATTGAGTCTTATGATTTGTGCAGTCGAGTTTTTTCATTATTAACATATTTAATCAAATTAACTACTGCAGCTGACATGGCAAGTTTAATCATTTAAAAAAAGAGATAATGAATAGAGAAGTTTAAAAATAACGATAAAATTTAGAAAATTAGAGAAAATAAAAAACATCAAAGGAAGTGAAGGAGGTGGCGGTGCCAAGCCCCACCGACGATGGTTCACACCGCCACCCCTGCTCAACCTTAGTAAGCTTTCGCGAGGCCACGCGATCCAAATCAATGAGGGTCTCGTACAACCAAATCTCACAAGACCTTGATTGAAGAAGAAATTGTCCTTCAAGTTTCTAAGGTCTATGACTACAATGAAATTTAAAGAGTCACCAAATTTGTGTAGCTTGAGGTGGCCGTTGTACAAATAAGAATGTAGTGAAAACGACATGCTAGAGAGATTTACAAATATGAGACTCAAAATCTCAACTTTTGTTGGGGGAATGAGTGACGGTCCTAAGTTTGATTGAAACTCGTGTAGCCCCTCTATCTCTACCACAATTCATCCGAGTAGAGATTTCGCCAACACAAAGACGCTTGTTTGGGTCATGTGAATTTGGCCAGAGTTAAACCAATTACTTGACCCATATTTGGTTAGCTGAATTGTTATATGGGTTACTTATATTCAATTCATAAATTGGTTTAAAATGATAAAATTTAAAATTATATGGATGTTAAATGGGTTCATAACTTACTTAGATCTATCCCACCTCTATTGTCTCTCTTCACTGTCTCTCACTTTCACTTAATCTCGCGCTTGCTTGCTTCGCAATCTTACTTCAGTTTGGGTATGATTTTTCCTAGATTAGGTTTAATATGGAAGTATTTTAGCGATATGAATCGGATTAGATATGGGTCACTGGATTTGCATTGTATGAAAATGGATTAAAGCCGGGTCGGTGGTTCATACCACTACCAATGGTGGTCGGCCACCTCTTCCCTCCCTCAAACTTTTTATCTCTTTCTCTTTCGAATTCCTTTTCCTTGACTTGTTAGAATTGTATTTTGATTGTAAAACATCTGTATTCATTTTCTCCTTTTTAATGTTTAAACATGCCATGTTAACTAGTGCGTTGGTACCATAAGCATGTTAATAATGAGAAGGCTCAATTGCACAAATCAAAAGATTCCATTAAACGCATCAAAAGTCAAAGGACTTGATTGCACAATCGGCATAAGTTATGAGACCAAAAACAGAATTATCCCAAAACAAATCAAAAGCGAGAATTTTCAAATTAGACTACTATTAGTAATTAAAATTCATAAATGATGTTGGGGGGCATCCATCTTTGACTTGTACCCACTACTTTTTTGGGTCAGAAGTGGCAAGGAATCTTTCCTTCTCTTTTTTCTCCTTTTTTCCCTCCTTTTTCCACTTTCTTACCAATGACAAACTGTACTCAGTTTGATCTTTGATCGCTTGATGCTTTTGAATTTTTGCCGACTAAAGAAAAGTTAAAGTTGGTCAATGGCTCTGAATCCCTCCTTAATCCTTGTCACTTGGCTTCTTGTGGAGGAGAAAAGCTGCTTGTCCATTAAGACGTGTCGGTTTGAAGCCACCCTTTTTCTTTGTCTCTTTCTTTCCTGTTAAGGAAATTATATCAAATTTACAGGATAATTGTCTAAAAAGTCTTAAAATTATTGTACGGTAGACAATTCAGTCATAAAGTTTTCAATTATGCTAATTTAGTCTTAAACCTTTCGACAATTAGCCAATTTAGTCCTAAACCTTTCTCTGTGTCAATTTAGTCCTAAAACTTTTGAAATTTTGTCAATTTAGTTATAAATCTATTATTTAGATATTTGGTCGAAAGGACTACATTGCAAATCGTAAAAAGGTTTATGACTAAATTATCAAATCGTCAAAAGATTTAGGACACAATTGGCAAATCATCAAAATGTTTAGAACCAAATTGGCAAATCATCAAAATGTTTAGGACTAAATTGGCACGATTAAAAGATTTAGGAGTAAATTGGCCTCCGGAAAATAGGTTTAAGACTTTTGGGGCAATTTTTCCTATAATTTTTTAAAATGCTTCAGCAAGAAAAAAAAAAGAAATTCAAATTCCACTTTATTACTTCTTGGCAATAGATACATCTTAATTTCTTGGCTGTCATAATAAATTTGACGATTCTTCACATGCCCTTCTAGATGTGCCACGTGTCTTGATACCCTTCGAGGAATTAAATCCTGCCGTGGTTCGAAGAACAGCTTGATAAGGTTAGGCTTAGCCTATATATGGTAACAATATAAATCTACATTTAATTACCAAAAATAGGGTATTGTGTTTTTTAAGGTTATTGTCATCGAATTGATTGATCAATCATGCGCAAAACGTGGGATTATTGCCTTTATTATATCATTTATATGGTTTTGCTTTGATAAATCGGATAAAGCGATAATTAATGATGATTATTAATGGATTGGCTTATATAATTGGATGACAGTCTTCACTTCTTTTTCCTCGGTATTGGGATAATTAACTATGGTAATGTTTTGTACCATCTTACATTTTCGAATCATTGTGCACCACAACTTGTTGCACGTGGCAGAACAGTAGATGAAAGAGTTTAACGAAAAAAAGAAAACTGTTCGACCATTTAGCTTATATAAAAGTTATACGTTAAAAATTGAAAATTGGTTCGAATTTAAGAAGTCGCCTTATTACTGCCCTTGATCATAAGCGAATCGAGGTTTCGTCCTTCATTTAGTACTTTGCAAATCGGGATTTATTTTACCAATATATGTTGATTTTCCGGGCGTTTACCAATATATATAAGTTCCGAATTCACAATAGAAAGAAATAACCCACAACCCACGTGTACAAAATTTCCGAGTGATTCTAATACTTTATATTAAATCGGGATAGACCTCTATTAATGTAATCTCTAAAAACTTAAAGATGTCTTCGTGTATGCTTCTATCGATATTGTATTAATTAATTATTTCAAGTAATACAATTGATTATTTAAAAAAAATATTTATTTTTCGCGAGATAAGACTATGCTAAAATATAATTCTCTCACTTATGGGTTTCATATGACATGCCGTCCTAACACAAGCTTTGCTCCTCTCGTTGCGATGTCCGTCCCCAACGTGCCCGTCCCTCTCCGCCCGGGACACCTCGGAACGAAGAGATTTCGCAACGTCTCAATCTCTCGCGATAAATTGGAGGCGGATGAGAAATTCGGCGGTGCGACGCGCGCCCGACACCACATCGACAGCCCTCCTCGCCCTCTGCCTCCACCAATCAGGTGTCGCCACCTGTGATTTGTCAGGCGTCGTGTCGCTGCCCTTTTGAATTTTGGGTTAATTCCAAAAAAAAAAGCACCAACTTTAGGTCGAGGGACAATTTTGGCCCGAACTTTTTTTTATCCTGTAAAAAAGCACTAACTTTAGGTCGAGGGATAATTCTGGCCAGAACTTTTTTTTTGTCTCGTAAAAAAGCACAAACTTTCACTTAAATCCCAAATCTGGCCCTTATTGACTTAAAACCATTGATTTTTCAATTTGATTATTCCACCTTAGCAATAAATCCACGTGACTTGCTGACTGGATTTAAAGCATTATTTATTGTCTTATTCTCTGAACCACAGTTTGAAGAATAACGGTGAAACTGTTCGTCTCCTTCACTTCACCGGCAAGTCAAAAATATCTCCAGATTGAATCTTTCTGGCCAAACTTCATCGTTTTGTCGTAATCTGAAGCTGTAGACCACCGCCCGTCGACAGACACCATGGAAGAGATTCGCCAGGCTCACCACCATAACTTTTTTTCTCAAACAAGGGTAACTTCAGACAGAAAGTCAATGGGGGGCCAAATTTGAGATTTAAATGAAAGTTGGTGCTTTTTTATACGACAAAAAAAAGTTCGGGCCAGAATTATCCCTCGACCTAAAGTTGGTGTTTTTTTATGGGACAAAAAAAAGTTCGGGCCAGAATTGTCCCTCGACCTAAAGTTGGTGCTTTTTTATGGAACAAAAAGAAGTTCGGGCCAGAATTGTCTCTCGACCTAAAGTTGGTGTTTTTTTTTTTGAATTAACCCTTGAATTTTATGGAGCTTCTCTGACTTATATTAAAAAGGTCGGAATAAAAATAAAAAAAGAAAGGAAAAAGAAAAAAATTGGAGTGGCTGGAAGCGCAGCCCGGCCAATGAACGACGCCGACTTTTTTCGGACTCTCCGATGTTGGACTGGCCCACACGCTGAGCTGTGTTGGGATTTTCCTTAAATTCGTGAAATTATTTCTTCGGAAATTCTCCCGCGGCAAAATATTTTCCACAAAGATCGTTTTGTAGTGATATTCCGGATAAGAAATATCACATATAGATAAGAAACAACGGTAACTTTACTTTAGATGGAACCTTACAAACACAATCTGTGCTAAGAATTTAATCGACCACATGGTCTGAGAAAATACGGCCACTTTAACAAAATCAAATGTTAAAAAATTATGCCGAAATTTAATTGACGACAAAATTTAAGAAGGTCGAGATATAGCATCGGAATTTCATAACTGACGCAACACCCGAAATAGAGATGCACGCCGGAATTTAATCGACGTAGCGTACCTGGAAATAATAATTAAGAAACACGCCGGAGTTTAATCGACGACGCAGGTCTGGAAACTACGAGTACAGTAC